GAACTGGATAAAATCTGTTTATGCCCCCGCCTCCGCCGTAGCGGTGGGGGCATTAAGTTTTACCCTTGTCCGTCTGTACGTACGTCCCAAAATTAGTTTCCGTTCTCTAACTTTAGTTTGCCTCAACCAAATGTTATGAAACTTATACACAATGCTTATTACCACAAAACACAGATCAAGTTTGAATTTTAGTAGCGTCACTATAACCGTTCTAGAGTTATGCCCCTTTATAATGGAAAAATTGCAAAATTTTTATTTTCTTCTAAAATATCAAGTAATTTTTAAAATTGGAGTAACTCCCTTTGTCCATGATTACAGTTTAATCAACTACAATCAATGCTTTATACAATGCAATGTTTAATTTTGACTTCCACTGATAAAACACAGATCAAGTTGAATTTGGGTAGTGTCACTTTAACCATTATTGAGTTATGCCCCTTTATAAATCGAAAGATTGCAAATTTTTAGTTTCCATTCTGTAACTTTAGTTTGCCCCAACCAAACATTATGAAACCTATACACAAATATTCATTACCACAAAACTAAGATCAAGTACAAATTTTTTGTTTCCGTTTTCTAACTTTAGTTTGCCTAAACCAAATGTTATGAAACTTATACACAATGCTTATTACTACATATTACAGATTAAGTACGAAATTTGGTGGCGACACTTTTACCATTCTTGAGTTATGTCCCTTTATAAACATAAAAACTGCTGAATTTTTCGTTTCCGTTCTCTTACTTTAGTTTGTCTCAACCAATTGTTATCATTGAAAACTTATGCACAACCGTTCTAGAGTTATGCGTGTTAACAAATAGAAAAATTTGTTGCTGAGTTTTTAGTTTCTGTTCTCTACTTAAGTTAGCCTCAACCAAATGGTATGAGACTTACACACAATGCTTATTACCGCAAAACTCAGATCAAGTTCAAATTTGGGTAGCGTCACTTTTACTGGCCGTTCTTCAGTTATGTCCCTTTATAACTATATGATATGCAAGCGGGGGCATCATCTGTGTCCACATGTGAACACTATCCACATTTATCTTAGTAATAGACAACAATGCGAACAGGTCAACGGGTCAAGATCAAGTTGGGGGAATGTAACCAGTGGAATTCCACAAGGCTCTGTACTAGGACCAGTTTTATTTGTTCTGTTCATTAACGACTTGCCAAACAATGTAATTTCAGATGTGTTCATGTTCGCAGCTGATACCAAATTATCTAGGGAAATAGTCGACCAAAGTGACCAGAAGTTTATTCAGGAAGACCTTGATGGACTCTTCGATTGGAGCAAAACTTTGCTTTTGAAATCCCCCCCCCCCCGGACAAGTGTAAAGTTCTACCAAATAGTGCATGTAGTGGAAGGAACACCTCACACGAACCACCAAATTACACAATGAAAAATTATGAAGGCACTGTTCTTGAAAATGTTGAATCCGAGAAAGATATTGGAGTAACTATTGACATGAATCTGTCGTTTGCTAATCACATCCAAAATCAGGTGAATAAAGCTAATCAGATTGTATGCCTCACTGGTCGTTCCTTGTCCACATATACAATCGCACATTTACTCTACTATTTAAAAAAGCACTTGTTAGACCGAATTTGGAGTATGCAAATAGTGTATGGTCACCCTACAGGAAGGCTGACATCACTAGTAAGATCGAAAATGTGCAAAAGAGAGCGACCAAAATGTTACCAACAATGAACAGATGAGAGACTTGTCATATGAAGACCGTCTGCGAAAACTCAAGCTTCCAAATCCGTCTTGACCTGGAAAGACTCAAACTTAACTATAATATGAAGGTTTCAATTTGTCCCATGTGTGTTACCAATGTAACCAATGTAACCATTATGTCAATGGAGGTTACAAAACAAGGTTAATTAATTCTGGTGCACATTTTGCCTTATATGTTCATTGAAACTGAAGAAACAACGAAGTCGTCTAGTTCTAAGGGAGCTGCCATTTGATTTTTATGGGGGGGGGGGGGGGCTAGGATGAAAAATTTTGTCCTGCATTTTTTTTAGTTGTAATCTCTGTCCTGCCTTTTTATTTTTCACTCTATTCGGTCCTGCCTTTTTTTTTTTAGTTTATTCTGACTTTTTTTTTACATAAATTGTCATCCTGCCTTTTTTTTTTTTTGCAAAGTGTCTCATCCTGCCTTTTTTTTTTACTCAAAACTCCTGTCCTGCCTATTTTTTTCAAATTTCATCCTAGCCCCCCCCTAAAAATCAAATGGTAGCTCCCTAAGGAAGTATGTTTTCACCAATAGAGCTGAAGACATATGGAACAGCCTCCCTGAAAAAGTTATTTCAGCCAAAACTTTAAACATTTTTAAAATCAGAGTAGATAAATTTTGGGCCAACCGTTAATATAATTTTGAGGCAGAATATGAAATTTTATCCGGAAGTGAGAAACGAACAATTAAATACAATGACGACGAAAAAGAGCCGAATATAATGGTACAACATTGCCAGCGTTCTGAAGATCCATTACATAGGCGGATCCAGGGGGCCTGGGGGCCCGGGCCCCTCCTCATGTGGGAAAAATTTGGTTGAGTATATAGGGAATCACTGAAGCATGACTGGAGCGGCCCCCCCCCCCTTTTTAGGTCAGTCAGCGCCCCCCCCGCCCCCCCCTTATGAAAAGTTCTGGATCCGCCACTGCTGGGGCGTGTTTTTTTGTTCTTCGGTAGTGAGCCAGAAGAGGTCCATTATTGTTTTTTTGCATAGGGAAGATCTTCTGGCTCTCTTCCACCTCTTCTTTTTTGATAGGTAGTTTAGACGGCAGAGGCACATAACAAACATGGCGTCGTTTAGTCTAAATGACATTAATAAATTTATGAATGCAGATATATTAGAATGTGAGCTGTGTTATAAACGTTTTTATGGTATGACAGTCTTAGTAGGACATCCCTGTAGGACGATAAGCTGGATTAAAATAAAAGAAATACACGGACAATAACAGTTAAGGGACGACTATTTGATATGCTAGGGAAGGGATTTTGATTGATTGGTGTTTAACGCTACTTTCAACACTAAGTTGGGCTATTCCGTGGTGGTCAGTTTAAATTTATAGATGAAGGATGGGGAAGGGAAGAGGGCATTATTAACTTTTTTAATCTGTCGCTAATTATGCCTATTTTTCAGCTCTTACCGGCCAACCATATTCATATATGAAAACCTCCTGCAGTGGCGGATCCAAAAGGGGGGGGGGGGTTCCGGGGGTTGGACCCCCCTTTTTTTTTGGACGATCAATGCATTTGAATGGGGACATATAGTTGGAACCCCCCCCCCCCCCTTTATAAATGGCTGGATCCGCCCCTGTCCTGCCCCCCCCCCCACCCCACCCCAATAAATGTATGAATATCAAATGGTTTTTCTTCTTATTTAACACAAGTTTAAATTGATTGATTGTTTGTTGCTAATTTTTAACGCCCAGTGACAAATATGTCATGCATGTTCAGGACTCGGTTCAGGAAACACGAGTTTAAAAGTCAGGTTAAATAAATAAAAACGAAGTAATGTATGATTGCTAATGAGGCAACTATCCACCGGAGTTCAAATATGAAGTGGATGTAAGCAATTAAAGGCAACCGTAATTAAGGCCTTCAACAATGACAAAACCCGATACTGTCAAAAGGCCCGACGTGAAAAGTGTGAGAAACAATTCAAACGAAAAAACTTACGGCCTAATTATACATAACAAAATAATTTACAAAATATCAAATACGAGTCGAGACATGAACCAACGACAACAACTAAACTACAGGCTCCTGACTTGGGACAGGCACACAAAGAATATGGCAGGATTGATATAAAAACGAAGATTGCCAATGAGACAACCCTCCACAAGAGACAAAATGACACAGCATTTAACAAAAAAAAAACTTACATAAAGACAATAGACACAATTAAAGCACCGAAATAAGAGTATTTGCAATTACTGGAAGTTTGTTCAATGCTAATTACAACTATAGTACTGAAATAAATCTTGTTCTCTCAGACTGAAGTATCAATCAGTACACAACTAACGGATTTATTAAAAAAAAAAAAGAAGAAAAAACAGTCTGAGAAATGTCTGGTATACATTGTATACTTGCATATAGATTCATATACAATGAAAATTTTTGAAAAGTGGTGGTCCGAAGGTTTTGACCATCGAAATTATGCAATAGAAATAATACTGAGTTAGGACCAGAAGATTTTCTTCAAGGACCACCAGAGAAAAATGATTTTGAGAACTTTCCGATATCTTTGCTTTATACAAAAATAATCCAGTTTGGTTACTTTAAAAAAATTGGATAGACAAGATGTCCTTTTTGATCATATTCGAGACAAACATTGACGAATTTTTGTGCAGTTTAAGATTATTCTTAAAAATCAAATAGTGAGGGTTTACGCCTGATTTGTCTAGCAAAATTGAGTTAGAGGAAAGAACAAAGAAAAATGTCACGAACAGAGCACACTTTTACAGTCATGTCTACCGGACGTATCTTAATTTTCTATAAAATCATCGTAAACTTTATTTAATATGGCATCCAACATAACAAAAATCTGCTATATTCGACGGCAAATTGAATTTTTGTTTTATTGATCTTCCGTAGTATATCTCCAGAAGAGGTCCAGATTCATTTTTTTTGGACTCTTCACCAGAAGACATTCTGGAGATGTGCAGAAGAGACCAATAAAACACGCCCCTGATTATAGGTATGACTATCTATAGGTAGGTATGAAAGTGAAGAAGATATGAGACAGACTTAACTGTATCAGCAGAGACAAATATCTTTATTATATGTCTCTCAGTGGTATAGTGTATTCCTTTATTTCAGGTTCGATTGGGGATAAGTAAGTTCTACACGATTTTATTTCTGAGCGTCATCTTAACAACAAGAGACATATATTAATGGGTCTCTGTCTTCATAAATGATTGCGTAATTTTTAACTTCCTGATTATCTCTGCCATTCCTAAACGGTTTTTAAATAGAATTGTGTTTGCATTTCCGGTTGATGAAAAAGTTCAAAATTTTTGTTTTGGAGGAAAATATTGAGATAGTTTTGAGGTACATGATAATATAATGAGAGAGCAACACGTATGAAATCGACCAAAAACCACTTACGCATAATTTCATTGTCAGAAAAAATGCATTAAAAGAAATACTGAGGCTATACACACTCCAAGGTTGTCCTTTCCAGCCGTATATCTACCCCTTTTGAGACGTTTTGGCCACAGTACCAGTTCGGCCATAGTCTTTTTGATTCGGCCACACTTTTTCATATTGTTCTTAACATCACAGAAGTTTATTTTTAAAAGGATATTAAGGACTTCACAAAAAGTCATTTGTCATAATGTGTGCTTCTCCACTCTTATGCCATACACGTTTAAGACGTTAATCACGTTTCCCTTTCAGTTTGTGCTGAATTAATTATTCTTTTGGTAACAGTTAAAATAAAATAATTTGCCATTAACAAGCATAAGTATAGGAGAAACAAGGGACAACAACGACTGCATGATGAACAACAACCATCTTCTTCATTAAAAAATAACTATCTTGTTCTGTATATTACAAAGTTCATTTAATACCACCATTTTACGAATATTCTTACAGCATTCATACACATTTGTATCAATAATATAAATGTATAATTAAAATGCATTTTGCCACGTGTTTCTTAATATCTCTTTCTAAAACAAGAATATTTCCTTTTGAAATCATGGCCGAACTGGCAGTATGACCTAAATGACTGTTGCCAAACTGACAGTATGGCTGAAGCCTCTTGCATCCCCTACATGTACGTAAAGTCACAGTACCCAAATAACTATGGTTAACCTCCCTTTAATGTTACAAAATTTCATTACTGACAATGTATTATACCAAGAAATATTATCTCTATTGGACACCTTTTGTATGTTCCCTACATAGTTGCGGTGGGAGAAATAAAATCAAACATGACCCAAATCGTCAATTGATTCCTTCTAGGAGTTATTACCCTTAAATGACAATTTTGACCCGATTTTGTATTTTTAGATATTTTCTTGAAAACTATAATACATTGTAAATAAAGATAGAGAAAACAACAAAAATGATCAGCTAGATAAGATCTAAAAATAAGCAAATATAACAGAATGCAATATAGGTGAAAAGGGACATCAAAATGGTAGATTAGAGATTCAGGCTCTCATGTTTTCTTTGTGTTTTGTTTCATAAAACCAGCAAGCTTAGACAGATTGGTTAATCTTAACTTTATTTAAGATACGATTTTGAATGTGATCAAGGAATTTGGTATGTTGTCTTTATATGAACTACCGGTATACTTGTTTCATTTAATGTTGTATTTACTATTTATTGATAGACAAAGATGGAAGAAGAAGAAGAATTAAGTGCTGATGTGTCAAACATATTCAAGTCTATACAAGCAGCAGTAAGTCTTAGAAAAATAAGAAGATGTGGTATGATTGCCAATGAGACAACTCTCCAACAGATGTCCATTTCTAAACTAGTATACATTATTGTTTAGGTCCAGCTGAAGCCCACCTCTGGGTGTGGGATTTTCTCCCTGCATTGAGGACCCATTGGTGGCCTAAGGCTGTTTTCTGCTCTTTGGTCGGGTTGTTGTCCCTTTGACACATTCCCTGTTTCTATTCTCAATTCTATTGTGAGTGCTCAATCCTTCTCCTAACCTTGGACATTGGTATAACATCAAAACATAAGAACAAACTGTAAAAATCAATTGGAAGGCATACATGTAACTGATCAGATCGTGTAATGCATATATTTACTGGATTGTTCAAAGACTGTCCGAGAATCTAGAATGCATGTATATGAAATCAATAAAATAAGAATGTATTGATCATTAATAAAAAGTGTATTGTAAACTACTTCAATTCAAAATTTACTAAATGTTTCCATTGCATAATGGTAGAACTTAAATTCAAAGTGAATACTGAATTGAATTTAATGTCAACTGTTTTCATAAAATTGAGAATGGAAACGGGGAATGCATCAAAGAGACAACAACCCGACCAAAGAGCAGAAAACAGCACAAGGCTTGTAATGTTTCTTCAACACAGCGAGAAAATCCGGCACCCAGAGGCGGGCTTCAGCTGGCCCCTTAACAATAATGTATACTAGTTCATATATACATTACATCTGTACTTATATGAAAATAATTGTTGTCCTGTATAAAGAAATCCCTCAATCATTGATGCAAAATGCCTGAATTCTGTTTAATTTTCATACTTTTGAAAAAAATTAAAGTTAAAACTAGTCACTGATACCAATATTGAAGTCGGGATTTGGATTTTATCATCAAATTACAACATATGTCTTTAAAATATCACATCACAATTAAGACATGCCAAATTGAAATTGATATCAGGGTTGAAATTGAAATTAATTTTGCCTGCACATAGCTTCTGCAATCTTTAGTTACGACAACCAAGCAATATTTTAAATATACATGTACTATGATTATAGAGTATATATTACTGAATAAAAAGAATATTTGGTTTGATTTACAGGAAACAGGAAAATACATTAGAGATCATCAGTTAAGCAGAGTTGTATAGAGGTTTTATTTTAGAAATTCACTTTTACATTTTTCATTTGTATACAGCTAAAGCAGAAAAACTTATGTATAAATCTTTTCTTACTTCAATATTATATTCAAGTTTTGAAACATATTTTAGTGTGAAGAGCTTACACAGAGAGGACAGGAATATCTTTTGGTAACAGCTGACCCAGCCAGTCAAAGTTGTATGAAAATTGGATCTGAGAAAGGGAGACAATTCCTGGATGTCAACTCAGAATTGGTCATAAATTTCTTTTCATACTGCTTTGGTAAGACTGATAAAAAAGTGAAATAATGTATTGGGTTAAAAAATTGTCTTGCAAGGTCTCAGCCCAGGACTTGCACCAAATGATTTAAAGTCAAGACCTATCTTTTTAAAAATCAACTGAAATATGTGAAATCTGGATTTTAATTTTAAACTTTCTTTTGCTATGCATTCAATTAAAATATATTTTGTTGTACAATATACTGTGATTGTAAGTGGATTCTGTAACTGCTTTCAGAACTGGATTGGTACAGAGGATACCAGTTCTGGCCTTTTGCACTTTTTGCATGCTTTTTATTCCCCGGCTGTAGCGGGTGGGGGCATTAAGTTTTACCCTTGTCCGTCTGTACATACGTACGTCCCAAAATTGGTTTCTGTTCTCTAACTTGAGATTGCCTCAACCAAATGTTATGAAACTTTTACACAATGCTTATTACCACAAACCACAGATCAAGTTTGAATTTTGGTGGTGTCACTTTAACCATTCTAGAGTTATGCCCTTTATAAATGGAAAAATTGCAAAATTTTAGTTTCCGTTCTCTAACTTAAGTTTGCCTCAACCAAATGTTATGAAACTTATACACAATGCTTATTACCACAAAAAAACAGATCAAGTTTGAATTTTGGTGGCGTCACTTTAACCGTTCTAGAGTTATGCATCTTTATAAATGGAAAACTTGCAAAGTTTTTATTTTCTTCTAAATATCAAGTAATTTTTAAAATTGGAGTTATATTCCTTTGTCCATGATTATAGTTGAATCAACTACAACATGTACAATCAATGCTTTGTACAATACAATGTTTAATTTTGACTTCCACTGATAAAACACAGATCAAGTTGAATTTGGGTAGTGTCACTTTAACCATTATTGAGTTATGCCCCTTTATAAATCGAAAGATTGCAAATTTTTTAGTTTCCATCCTGTAACTTAAGTTTGCCCCAACCTTACATTATGAAACCTATACACAATATTCATTACCACAAAACTAAGATCAAGTAAAAATTTTTGGTTTCCATTTTCTAACTTTAGTTTGCCTCAACCAAATGTTATGAAACTTATACACAATGCTTATTACTACATAATACAGATTAAGTACAAAATTTGGTGGCGACACTTTTACCATTCTTGAGTTATGTCCCTTTATAAACATAAAAATTGCTGAATTTTTCGTTTCCGTTCTCTAACTTTCATTTGTCTCAACCAAATGTTATAAAACTTATACACGACGGTTCTAGAGTTATGCGTGTTTACAAATAGAAAAATTGCTGAATTTTTAGTTTCTGTTCTCTACTTAAGTTAGCCTTAACCAAATGTTATGAGACTTACACACACTGCTTATTACCACAAAACTCAGATCAAGTTCAAATTTGGGTAGCGTCACTTTTACCGTTCTTCAGTTATGTCCCTTTATAACTATATGATAAGCAAGCGGGGGCATCATGTGGACACTATCCACATTTATTTTTTATGCCATGGTCAATATATTGTTTCTGTCTGATAAACTGAATTTTTTTTTAAAGTTGATACAAAATATATGCTTTTATCGTGCTGGGCACTGACCATTTAGAATCGACATTCATCTTTTGTTGGGAATCATGTTTTATTTTATTGTGAATTTCATGGGGGAAAAAATTCCAAAATGTGAAGTGAAAAAAATGGTTTGTTTCTATCATTATCTATTTAAAGTATGTGCAAAAGATGAAAATAACATTGATTAAAAACAAATCTTACTCTTGCTCATTAAAAAAAGTTGTTTTCGATAAAAGTTGAAAAAAAAATATTTGTCCTTAGAAAATACCCTTGCCACAACAAAGTTGGATGGTTGGAGCCTTATATCAGGAGAAGCTCTGTCTGCAATGTTGGACCACATATATCATTCACACAGCTAACTCTGGTAGAATGTCAGTTAATGCTGGATTCAGTCAAAGAGTAAAACTGTTTAGTTTAAATTTTTATTCATGACGAGCAAGTCCGACAGGCTATGTTGCTTATGACATCACGAAATCCATTATAGGTGTCATGTTTTTGGAATTTTCAGCCCCTGAAACATATTGATACATATGGCAAAGAAATATATTGTGTGTACAATTAACAAAAGCAAAGGAACAGTGCTTTTATTGCTCTCAACCAACGAAAAATTAAGATCTTTGTCAGGTAATATAGTATAGAGGTACATGAACAATATATATATGTTTTTTCAGGTGCACAAATAATTGAGAATCTTGGTGACCAGAATGAAACAACCAACCAGACTGATATTCCTGGTAACATAATAGATAGTTTAGATACACCAACAGACATTAAGCAACCAACAATCAATCAGCCAATAGATACAACTATCGAAGAAGATAAAGAACAAGTTAGCACAAATACCGATTCAAGTAATGACCGTACAGAAGTATTTCCTGACTTACAGTTAGTCACACAGACTACTGACCGTAAGCCTAGTACCGGTACAGTTACACATACAGACCAACCTGAACAGCAGTTAATTAGTTCAGGACTACCAACTAGTCAATCTGATGAAAAGATAATTTCTTCCAGAGAACAAGGAGAAAAAGATCTTCAAAAGCTTGAACATTCTAAAAAGCAAATTTCAAAAGAAATCAATTGTACAGAACAGCCTACTGAATCGAATCTAGAAGACTTGTCAGCACATGAGGAAGTTCATAAAGACCTAGATTTGGCCTCTGAGGAGAGTACATTACCTCAGATAGTCAGTGAAAGTCAAACTTTAGGTATAGATTCTAAAAATGAAAAGATAGGTGATGAACTAGCTGAAATTGTTGATGCAATTCCTGCTGTAAATGAAAATAGTACTGATTCAGAAACTGATAATCAAGCTGATTCCACTAAAGCACAAATTGAATCTGGTGGTCTAAATGATTCCACTAAAGTACAATCTGAATCTGGTGGTCTAAATGATTCAGTTAAAGTACAGTCTGAATTTGGTATTCTAAATGATTCCACTAAAGTACAATCTGAATCTGATGATCTAAATGATTCTACTGAAGCACAACCTAAATCTGGTGATCTAAATGATTCCATAATTGCACAATCTGAACCTTGTGGTCTAAATGATTCAATTGAAGCCCAAAGTCAGCATGAATTAATTAAACAAGATAAATCTTTTGTTGCAGAGAAAATGGTCACCAGGAAAGGAAACCAAAAAGCAAAATCTTCAATTTCTTCTATGGATGGTGAAAAGAAATCTCAAATTTTGAAAGAAGCTACAAACTTGCTTGATAAAGAAATTTCAAATGTGAAGGCAACAAAACAAGCAAAAAATATAACAAAAAACACCAACTTAAGACCTGTTACTTCAGAAACAAAATTGACAAAGAAAAAACAATCTAAAAATAAAAATGCGATGATAATTCCTGAAGAGAAAGCAGAGGATAAACCTTCAAAACCAACTTGCACTGTGTGTAAAGCTACATTCTCTAGGATTCATAGTTTGAAGGGTCACATGCTGATTATACACCAATTGGAAGTGAGTATGGAGGAGTTACAGAGGGAGCCAGCACAGACATCCATTGAGCAGAAAAAAGAAAGTATACCACCTACTAAGAAGAAACAAGCTCAGAACTCTGCTTCTAAAAACATGTCATATCCTAGTAATGACAGTGAAATGACTTCTGACAAAAATGCAAAGTCTTCACTGGTAACGGAAACTGCAGAAACGTTGTCAGAGAATAATGCATCTTCTCAAGTTCAAATGATTTTACAATGTGGCAGCATAGAGCAAGATGCAGAAATTACAAGAATTTTTGAAAAAGATAAGCAGCATAAAGTACAACTTAAGATTAAAAGTGAGCCTCTATCTGATGAGGAACAAGATGAAGCTGAGGTCCACAAAGTAAAAAGAAGAAAGCTTTTTACTAGAGACGAAGTTGATGACAGTAAAAAAATTAAACATGAAAACAGTGACCAAGAATCTTCAGAACAAGATATAGTTGCACTAACGACTATAGATTTAATCAATAGTCTTAGCAGTGGTAACAGTAGCAAGGAAGGAGCAAGCCAAGAGAATTATATGATGCAGTCAGAGGATAATATCATAGTTTTGGAAGAAAATCATGATGAAAATGTCCCTTCAGCTAATAAAGGAAAGAAAAATCAAAAGCCTGAAAAGAAACAGGAAGATGTCTATTGTGAACTCTGTGATAAAAACTTTCAAAAAGCTTTTAATCTTACTATTCACAACATACGATTTCATCCTAGTATCATAATGAAACAGTTTGGTGTTGACATGGTAACACAGGTGAAGCAAGAGGTTGTTGATGAAGATATTGGACTTATTGATAATCAAATTGAGGAAGATGACAACCAACACGACAATCTGAATGATTCCACACAAGAGAATGAAGAAATGGACAATAGTGATTCCGTCGTTGATCCCATGGATAGATTGCAGGAAATCAAACAAAATGAACAGATAAAAAAGTATATTACTATAACAGAGCAGGAAAATAACACTTTGCTACTCAGCTGTAATAATTGTCAATTTTCTTGTGAAGAATTTCATCAGGTGCTTGTCCATATTGCTAGAATCCATCCAGAGCTGTCTGCAGATTTAGATCTAATGATGAGTTGTTTCTATGGTATCAAGACATTCAATAAAAAATGTGATGAATGTCCATTGATATTTAAATCTGTATCTAGATTGTGGAGTCATATCGTACAAGAACATCCAGAAAGTGTTGAAAATTGTAGTAAGAAAAAGCGTTTGCGTCATTTAATTAACAAATATAAAAGTAAAAAATCATTCGTCAGATGTGACATTTGTGGTGAACATTTGCGTAGCATGAGAGCTCTTGACAATCATATGGCAATGCATCCAGAAGCAGGAAGAAGATATCAATGTCCACAGTGTTCTCAATCATTCAGCACAAAACCAAACATGACTCGCCATTTCAAACAGATTCATTTAGAGGAGAAAAAGTTTCAATGTGACATATGTGGAAGATCTTTTTCACAGAAGGAGACATTAAAATACCATCGACAAACTCACGAGGAGGAAAAAGACAAACCCAGACTGTTCGAGTGTCATATTTGTAATAAAAAACTAAGGAAGAAGGAATCATTACAAATTCATCTTCGTCAACATGAAGGCATTAAACCTTATATCTGTGAATATTGTGGAATGGCTTTTACACAGAATGGCAACAGAATTAAGCATGTTCAACTCATTCATAATGAAGATAGAAGTTTGGAATGTACAAAATGTGGCAAAAGTTTTAAACTTCAGGAACATTTGAAACGTCACATGAAAATGCATCTAATCAGGGAGGGCGAGATACCGGCAGATAAAACCTACCTTTGTGAATATCCAGGATGTGGTGCTCGTTATACAACATCTACCCAGCTGAAAGTTCATACTATGTCAAAACATACCAATGAAAGACCGTGGACGTGCTCCACTTGTAATAAAGGTTTCACCACAAGAGACAAGTTGTTGAGGCATGAACAGACACATGTGGAAGGGTTATATGATTGTGAAATATGTCATAAAAAGCTTCAAAGTAAGGAAGGTTTAGCCATACATACAAAATACCACCAAATTGGACACGAAAGTGATCACTTTGAAGTATCTGTTCATGACTTTGAAACTGTTATCATTCCCCAAGAGAATGGAGCGCCAATCAAAGTCCAGTTAGCTCACTCTGAGCCAATCACAACAGACATTGCTAATGTAGGAGGAGTTAGTTCAGAGGATACTACATACTACCTCCAGACCTCAAAATCAGATGAGGTTGAGGAGGACTCAATACAAGTAGATGATAATACTATATTAGTAGATCCAAGTGTATTAGAGTCTGTGCTAGGGGCTACCTCAGATGAACAAACTGTATATTATTACGTAACTGGTAACTAAATCCTTGCTTCATGTTCTTAGAGTCTGTGCTCGATACTACCTCAGATAAACAAACTGTATTATATTATGATAATGTAGTTGGTAACTTAATTTGCTCTTCGCAATCTTTGAATAGAATATAAAGAGATGTTCCACATGTTCTAAAACAGGTATACCGTATTATACTGGGAGACAAAAGAGAGGATACACTTTTATTTGCTGACTATAACTTACTTTGGATTAGTTATTATTTGTGGGTTATCAATTTTCATTGAATTTATAACCTGGTAAAGGCTAATGTTTAATGATGTACACATTTTCTATAGGCTTATACATGTTATATGCACACTTTAGTGCAACCATGAATTTATTATCTAGGAAAATACAGTTTTTCTTTTCCACTAAAAATGGTACCCCTGAAAATAACTGAATCCACAGTAATATCATTTAATCTTCTGAGCGTACTTCAAGTTTATTAATGTGAAATATCAATAAAAAGAGGGTGTTAATGAACAGATAATACATGATTAATAAGTGCAAATTTTGCCATATGTGATTTATTTTTTAGAATTACTTTATGAAAGCAGCACTATTTTTCTGGATATAAAGTTTTCTTATTAAACAATGCCTGAACTAAATGCATAAAATTGAGAATGGAAATGGGGAATATGTCAAAGAGACAACAACCCGACCAAAGAGCAGACAACTGAAAACAGAAAACTGTTATAATGTAAAACTCCATAATATTTTTGGGATAAGCATTTTAAACAGTGTATCCTTTGTTTTGTCCTCTTGTATATTAAGGTACTGTTGAGTCTAGGAATATACTCATTATAATGTGCAAAGAAAACAATACCCTTTTTCTAGGTTGTCAATTATACAAAATGTGCTAAGATAACGATGTTTACTTGTTTATTAATTCAAGTTTCAAAATTTGCCAAGTTTAGATAAAATGGATAAAAATAATTGTCAGCTACATGTGACCTTAAAGCATTGTAAATTATTTATTTATTTTATTTTGATTTCATCTTTTTTTCACATATAAAAACCATTACCGTATGAAATCCAGTATAACCACAATGTTTTTTCAGCTGCTTTTATTTTCCGGTTAATAATGGCTGACCAAAGTTTTTTCGATGGAAAAGTACTAGTATTTGCAATGTTTATATGGTGTACTTAGCAACAAATATTCCTATGATATTTTTTTGGAACCACACTTTTTCATTTATTCTACGAAGCTCGATAGAGTAAACAATTTTAACCAAGCTTTTCAGGAAAAGGGTATGGAGTTTCCTTTATAGGAATTTATCATTTCTGCTATCAAATATAAATGATATTTTATTTTTTTTCTGAAACTTCTCTGTGCCTGCTTTAAGAATAAATATATGGCATAATGAAAGAAAGGTCTTTTTTTAGATTGTAAATTTGGCATTTGGGAAACATACCTGTATGTAATATTGTTGGTGTTAACTTGCTCCACTCCCCCCAAGTTTTTTTTTAACCCCATGTGTCCCAAACACATAAAATGCTAGACATTTAATTGGGTTCACCATATAAAGTTAAGGAGGAAAACATTACCATATAGATAAAAAAAAATTAGATCTTTCAGATTGATAAATATATATATATGATTATATCTGTTGAGATTCTTTATTAGATATTAAAACCCAAAGTCCTCAGATGTTTTAATTTAATTATCATTTACTTATTTATTGTTGGTGGGTGCATTTAATAGCAAACTGTTTCACTGGAATGATATTGATTTCATAACGAAAAGTAATAAAATTGGTAAACTGAATGGTTTTGGTTTCAATGTGATTTTTATGACATTTCCAGTCATTTACATTACAATGAGTATAACATAATATGTTTTGTATCATAAACATGTTTTTGAATTGTTACTGCAATTATTAAAGTTTATGAAAATCATTTTACACTTGTTTATATATAATTTCTAGATTTAAAATTGTCCTGAATAGGCATGACATATTTGCCACTGGACACTAAGCAAACAGCAATCAATCTTGATTTAAAAAAAATCGTCTGGTGACAAATTCATATGGCTTGATTTATACAAAGTTCTTTTCAGTGTGTTATGACCCGCCTTTGATAGTATGAAGTCATTATGTTTTCCAGTGTGTGCATTTGTCTGTTTGTTTGTCTGGTCGTCCTTCTCATATCAGGTTAAAGTTTATTTTCATAATTTTTTACCAGAGCGAGATCTGATAAATCAAGGATATTTTTGGGTATGCGTTAAACAGCAAAAATAATAAAGGTCAACATAAAGTCTTCAACCATAGCAAAGTGTGTATACAATACTGAGAGCTATAAATCGTCCCCAGTCTGAAAAAATGCAAATAAATTAAATAGAAAGTTTCAAAGGTTTGCCATTGACACCAAATCTGCAAATAACAAAAAACATTAAAAGGATATGACATAAGTCAACCAATGTCGAGGTTCATGAATTAGAACAGTCACATTAGTATGTGGGTTCTAGGTCAACCAATGTCGAGGTTCATGAATTAGAACAGTCACATTAGTATGTGGCTGTTAGGTCAACCAATGTCGAGGTTCATGAATTAAAACAGTCACATTAGTATGTGGCTGCTAGGTCAACCAATGTGAAGGTCCATGGATTAGAACAGTCACATTAGTATGTGGCTGCTAGGTCAACCAATGTCGAGGTTCATGAATTAGAACAGTCACATTAGTATGTGGCAGCTAAGTTGACCAATGTCGAGGTTCATGAATTAGAACAGTCACATTAGTTTGTGGCTGCTAGGTCAACCAATGTGAAGGTTCATGAATAGAACAGTCACATTTGTATGTGACTGCTAAGTCAACCAATGTCGAGGTTCATGAATTAGAACAGCCACATTAGTATGAGGCTGAGCAAAACTAGTCAGTGGACTAACAAAAGGTTCGTAAAAGACTAAGAATAAAATATAGTACAGGAACATCAATTTACGATGTAATACTGTAAATGTGGATTCATTATATTTCGTGGGATACCAATTTTCGTGGATTTGATGAGTATAGGCTGCTACGTCCGGTCTGTGTTTATGTTAGTTATTTTTCTGCTTTGCATCGATCTGATGAGTTGAGCCCTTTTCAATTGATTTTTGTTTCGCCTTGACGGAGTCAAAAAATCGAGACATAGGTATGCTTTTTCCGGCGGCGGCGGCGTCAACAATGTATTAGTATGTGATTATGTCTAGTTTGTGGTGAACCACTAGTGGTAGATCAATGATATTTGGTATGCAGTTGTATTAGCATTGGCACATCTCATTTCCATGGAGATAATTTGGCCTTGCCTCCTCAGTGATGGTCTATTGACTTTGAAACTTTTGCTTAGTTTACATGTACTAGTATTAGTTTGTGATTAGGTCAGTTTATGGGGAACCACTAGTGGTAAGTCAATAATATTTGGTATTCAGTTGTATAAGCATTGGCATATCTCATTTCCAAGGAGATTATTTGGCCCCGCACCCTTAGTCATGGTCTATTGACTTTGAAACTTTTGCTTAGTTTACATGTATTAGTTTGTGATTATGTCAGTTTAAGTGGAACCATTAGTGGTAGTCAAAGTTATTTGGTATGCAGTTGTACAAGCATAAGCACATCTCATTTACATGGATAATGTTTGGCCCCGCCCCCTCAGTCATGGTCTATTGACTTTGAAACTTTTGCTTAGTTTACATGTATTAGTTTGTGATTAGATCAGTTCAAGATGAACCACTTATGTTAAGTCAATGATATTTGGTAAGCAAATGTATTGGCATTTGCAAGTCTCGTTTCCATGGAGATTATATAGCCCCAATCCCTTATCATGGTTCAATGACTTTGAAACTTTTACATAGTTTACAAGTTAATGTTTGTGTTTAGGTTTATTTAAAGGGAACAACTTATGATAAGTCAATGTTATTTGGTATGCAGTTGTATTAGCATTGGCACATCTCATTTCCATGGAGATTGTTTAGCCATTTACCTTCAGTCATGGTTCATTGACTTTGAATATTTGCATAACTTACATGTTAAAGTATTGCTATTTTAATTTCAACATTTGCATTATCGAAATTACAAAAAGGCGAGACATATCTCTGTGATAACAGTTTATTATAGTTTGTTCTTATGTTGTACTGTAACACAACTGTCCTAGGTTAGGGGACGGTTTGGCGCTAGAAAATTAGTTCAACCCCGCCATATTCTGTATTTGCCTGTCCCAAGTCAGGAACCTGTTATTAAGTGGTTGTCGTTTGTTGCTGTGTTTGTTTTTCGTTCATAATTTTGTACATAAGTTAGTTTTCTCGTTTGAATCGTTTTACGGTTGTCAGTTTGAGTTCTTTTAAAGCTTACTATGCGGTATGGGTTTTGCTCATTGTTGAAGCCAGTACGGTGACCTAAAGTTGTTAACTTCTATGTCATTTGGTCTCTGGTGGAGAGTTGTCTCGTTGGCAATCATACCAGATCTTCTTATTTCTATATCTACAGCATTAAATCGGAAATACATTGCTTTCTCAATCAACGAATATATAAGTGAATCCAAGTAGATAACAAAAACAAAAGTACAAACAAAGCAATAATAAACCAGATTCAATACCATAACAAGGAATGCTCACAGTAAACGAACGCAAGCTCGGAGTAATTAACATGCTTCATGTCGGGGCCTTTTATAGCCGCCTATACGGTAATATTGGTCACTGTAGTACATGATAAATTATTTCATAGTATGGTACAACAACGTCATTAACAGTACATGATAAAACGATCGTGTGCAATGTCCAGAACAAACTGTACAGAATTTCTATCAATATATAATAGCATCTGAAATATTTTTGGGGACTTAATTGATGATTATCCCCAAAAATACCAGACGCAGTGCTTGAACACAGTAATTATCAAAAAGCTTATTAAGCCAAAACGAGACATATATATATATATTAGTATATATGTCTCTGGCCAAAAACAATTGAAGGACAACGCATAATGATGAAAGATTTACAGATTATATTACCGTAAATGTGAAATAAAACTTTTTATTACATTCCTGCAGATGGAGACATACTTTCATAATAAATCTCTATATCAGTGGTAAAATGTTGTAAAAGTATTGACCAATTTATGATATTTATAACAATTAAAATATTTCGTTATAATTGAAATCCGAGACATCACTGCAAACACGTGCAACTCGAATATACTGAAATGTACGCTCCCCAAGAAGGAGCTAACGGGAACATCATCATTAAGGAAAGGAAAAACGAATAGTCCTCCCGTTTATGAAAAATTTCTTGTTTAAGATTACTAGTACATCAAACAGGTAATCGGTCACTGTTTATGTGAACAGCCACTTGAAAATGAGGGTTTCTTGAATAGGGACAAAAGTGTTGCTTTGCAACTGAGGCCACCTATATATGGACCTCTCAGAGAGTTGTTGAAAGGGTTCTTTAACCTGCAGAGAGCGAGACATTTTCTCTACCCGAAAATCGTATTTAACGGACCGATCATAGTAATACTGGACGTCAACAGCTATTTCAATACTTAAGAAATCGGTGTTATACGTTTATATAATTTATCGTTTTGTGAATTCTTTTATTATTTTCGTATAATATTTCGCAATTTTAACTTATTTAAATTTTTTTTTTTGCAACAGACACAGTCATTATTGAAAGAACTAAACGGTTACTGGCTTTTCAGATTGTTCAGAAATATAAGTTTTTTAATTTCAAGAAATGACCCACTTCTAGCAAAAAGTATAATCGGTTTCAGCAATTTCTATTTCTTTATTCTGGATTTAAAAAAAAAACTTTGGGTTGTATCCCTTTAGCGAATAAAAGAACGTTTGTCTTATTTGCATTCATTTTGAGTTGCTGTTTTTCGCAATAATCACAAAAATCGTTCAATATATTTTCAAAACTCCGTCAACTCATGTTCAAGGTCAGCACTAATAACAAATATATCTTTTTCATAAAAAAATGCTGCATATATAAATCATTTTAAAAATATTGCAAAAAGAACACGAGAAAGATTTCTTCCTGACTTGCACCCATTTCACAAGTAAATTACTTTCTTTTTTTTTATCATTATAAAGATATTATGCGTGATTTCACATTTTGGTACAAATTTTGAATAATACGAAAAAAATCCGTTTATATTATTTTCTATAACTTTGAATAATAAAACATTTCTCTGGATAAAATCGAATGAGTTTTCAAAGTCTACAAAGACACAGGAAAGTGTTTTTCTTTCATCAATAAAAAAATTATATTGATATTTAAATATCTATTGCTTGGATTGCGGTCTTTTTTACGTGTATTTTAATTCCATTGAGATTTAGCATATCTCTGTAACAAACCATTCTGTTTAGAGGCATTTTGGCACATTTTTCAATCATTTATAACAGCTATCAGAGACATATATAGTACCCGAGATTTTCTACTTGTCAATCTCGGAAACTGTTTATGTCTCTGTAGCTATATTCAACAACACAAGAAAGTGTAAAACAATACATTTCTTTGGTTAAAATGAAGAAACAGCTTATAACAAAAGAAACGAAATCTTGAGTCAAGATAACATTGCGCTAAATTCAATTAATTTACTTTTAAACCAAATTTGAATATGTGGACATCGCTTCGAATCTTAAGTCGTATATGTTTCTGTCTTTGTTGTTAATGATTAGAGCTTTGAATGGTTATTTAAATATCTTAAAATACAAGAGCATAAAGAAGAGACAGAAAGTTTCATTTCGGCTTTGATAAAGAACAGGAAACCGACGAACAAAGCTTGGGAGCAAACGAACAGAATAATTCCGATATCATCTATGAAACGGATGATGAATGATCTCCGTCATAATTGTTATATTTCAATTAGCACCCAAATCAACACGCTTTTCTTTCCCCTACCACTGTGATAACGCCCCTCCGTTGTAT